GGGGGAAGGATGGCCAAGCAACGTCCTTAGGTAGGTGACAAGGAATCAAATCTAGTGCTCAAGCAGAGGGCCTAGCTTTGGGTAGAAGACCAAAGTGTGCATACAGTTTCAGGAAAAACTCATAAATGACTTTGTTTTTTTTTGTTTTTTTTTTCCTTTTTTGTCTTTTTTCGTGACCGGCAACGGATCGCAACCCTCAGTGTCACGCCCTTACCGGACCAGGACCGGCAACGGGATCGCAACCCTTGGTGTTGCGCCCGCACCTCGCTCAGCCAGTGAGCGGCCAGTCTGTATGTGGGATCCGAACCCTTGGTGGGAGGGCCGCCGTGCTCCCAAGCGGCGCACTGTAGCAGTGCACCACCGGGCCGGCCCCTCATAAATGACTTTGAAATGAGCAAAAAAGATTACTCGTGTCCTGTCTAGTATACTCTTTGAGTTACCTTTATCTTTCATTGTCTTTGAGCTATTTTCTAACTCTTTAAGTTGCAGACAACTGATAGGAATGCAAATAATTCTTTTTCATAGACACACAAATGAATTTTGCCCAGTGGAAGTACAATTGATCCCCCTCTCCCATTATAGAAGCCAGTTTTGCATTTATTAAGCAAATTCATTTTGGCATGCCTGATTACCTACATATGTACCTGTTTTTAAGATTCTTCTTTGAAACCAATTCAACATCTTACTGGTTCCTTCTTTAATGAGTTAAATAAAATCTTCGACACATGTTCATTTTATATTTATACAAGAATCATGACTTTACATTCTTTTTAAAGAAGTATCCTTCAACAATAGTAACATGAAGGAAAGTACAGGGACACAGATGCTAAGGTGGGTGGAGGTGGTGGTAACCTGTGGAAGTTCTTTCCAATAGCTTCACTTTCCTGAGGACAGAGAAGATGTAAAATAGTCAGGAGAGTGGTAGAGTGAATGGACTAGGGAATTTTAGTGTGACTGCAGCATTAAAGGCCACTCGAGGCTAGTAGTCATGAATTTAAAGTAGGCTGTTAATGGATTGAGTTTCTCCAGGCACAGTTCAACTCTGCACATGCAAAGGAGGGAGAGTTGAATTTAACCAGGGTTGTTGCTTTGCTAAATGAGGAGGCAAAGGCAATATAAGGCCTAAGAGTTGAGAATATATACGATGGAATGATTATGATTTACTTGGAATTTAAGCAGAGTAAGGAGGTTAAGAGAAGACTTAAGAAAGGTGAAGGACAATGAAAATGTGATGAGATCAATACATTGGAGGTCCCAGTAGGGTTGAAAGATGGTTGGAGTTGGTACTAGAACAATGAGCTGCAAAGAGAGGAGATGATAGAAAGGAAGCAAAACATTCTATTTGGGGCCAGCATTTTAGCATCAAACATTCTCTTGTTTGAGGGTCACTTCTGTGCTAACCACCAAACTCCCCTTTTTGTGTGTGGGAGGATAGGTGTTTTGCATGGAGTGCTTACGTCTCCCTTCTAGTTTATTCTTATGGTCTCTCTCAATGAAATGATCCCATGAAATCAAGTCCTTTTTTTTTCTTTTTGGCAGCTGGCGAGTTCAGGGACCTTGAACCCATGACCTTGGTGTTACAAGGCTATGCCCCAAGTGAGCTAACTGGCCAGCAATATGTTGTTTTTTTTCCAAGAGTGAACAGAATCTGCAGACAGGCAGGCAGCATGGTGAGCAGCTTCTCTGTAGAAGGTTGTGCAGTTTGTGTACTGCACAAAGGACACCAGGCTGAGGGGGTAAGCTGGGCTGAGACCCAGCCAGAACTCGGCTCATTGAGCTGCAGCCCCATTGCCAACCCACAAAGCCATGTGCTCTGCTATCATAGGGATGTTCCTAGAGGGATGCATTTTCTAATTCATGGAAAGGTGTGTGTAAGCCAGGGAGCCCTGTCCTTTTGTTGAGAAATCCCTTGTGGACTTGTGTCCTCTAAGTGCTTCAAGTGTTCGGAGTCTTTTTAAAGGAAGAGTCCCAATATTATATTTTCTCAATTATGTGCACAGAGTAGCTCTTTATAATAAAGTTTTTATTTGGACAATTAAATTTTGCTTCACCCAAAACCAATACATGTTTTTCTAGGAGATCATTGCTATTTGAGAAAAATGAGAAGCATGTGTCATATACATTATTTATAATCACTGCCACCTCCATTGTTTCTTGTTCATTATTAGGAAAAATCTTAGGTTAGACTAATATATTTTAAAAAATCCAGTTGAACAATGTTTTCTGATAAGTAATGCAAAGAGTGGGCAGAAATTCCTTACATAGGTCATAGGAATCAAAAAATTCTACTTGCCCTTTACTGTTTTAAGGTCTTAATATATACGTTCATTTTAAGATATAGTATGTTGATCTAAAAAGAAACTGAGGCCAAATACACATAACAAGGATTTATTGAACCATGTGATGACTGCAACTGGACTAACACATAGGTCAGGTCGCTCTGAGAAATGTGCTCTGAAGAGGGCCAGCAAGGCTTAGCATTTTATGACCACAAGAAGGGGGAAGGATCAAAGGAGAGAGGGGGGACAGCCCTGCTTCACCAGGTTTTCTACTGGTTGTACATGATGTACAGATTTGGGATTGTTACTAGGTTACATCCTACATGTAGGGATCTAGGGTAAGAGTTACAAGAAACGTTCTAGGTTATTTTGTTGGCTTTCTGGTGCCATCATGTCTGCTCTGCTTCTAAGTAAAAATGGTCTTATAATAACGTTTTCCAGTACAGAGGGATGTGACTACTGACTTATTCCAGATCTCCCAAGGCACTATAATTTAAATGACTTGGTCAGAACAGATGTTTTCTGTTACCAATTACATATCAATGGTTCTTGAGTCTTCAGGTACCTTTAGTTATGCAATGTTTACAGTATCCTTAAACTGAGTATTTATTAAACTGCACACAGAAATATCTGCAAAGATTTTTTTTTTTTTGGTAGGAATTTTAGCAAAAACCACTTATTGAACTAAAAACATAATAAAGAACACAGCTTTGTAGAGACAAAATAATCCACACTCACCGTCAGCAAATGTAAGTAGGATGAGCTACAACTTGGAGACTCAACAAAAACAAAGGCTATTTTCAGTATACTTTCACAGTCAATAGTTAATCCAGAGAATGCTGTTAATGAGGTAGTTTAGTGTCGTTTCCCCTCATCTAATGTCAGCAGAGAATGAGAGATTAAGGCTATTCAATTATGCCAACAGGAAAACCAAGAATCTCTACCTCCAAGCTATTTCTAGATTATCCTTGGGAAGAATTTGCAAACTCTCTGTGGTGCTTTCCCTTTAGGCACATGAAAGATTTTCACAAACACAAAAAATAGTGCTGATTCTGATAACACAAGCACAGCACAATTCTCATTATATTTTCAATTGGTCAAGCTTCCGCCAAAGGCCATGATACTTTGTTCTGAACCCCTGTGAGGACACCACAGTTTTCTATATTACCTTTGCCTAGAAATGTAACATTTGGGCAAAAAAGGAAAAGGGAAAGTAAGAAACAGGGATGAATGTGAGAGGGACAGCAGGAACCAGGAGTGGGAAACTAGATAGCTTTCTCACAGCCCCTGATATGGTGCTTCAAGGGAGATGCTCATTATTTTACTTAAAGGTACAATGCGATTCCAGAACATCAGCCAAATTACTAGTGTAACCTGGGTATAGAACTGCATGCTAAAGCAAAATACAATTCCCCCCCAAATAATTTGTTATTAAAAATTAATGCATGTCATTTGTGTGGAAATTAAGACCAAACTGCAATATGCTTTATACTTCCAATGTATAAATAGTTTTGTTCCTGAGTCCTGGTCCTGAGGATGGCAAATTCTAAATAATAAATGACGTGGATATGTCATTTATTCGAATAGTCTGAGCAACAGATTAATCTTAATTAAGTGGTGTTTGATTGATGGGACAGAAAATGCTACATGTGAATTATTATAAGAACTTTAGAATGTGCTTTGCTATGCATTTAAACTTAGATTAAAAAGAATCTCAGTTTAACAGCCTCAGTTTACTACTCCAGGGATGGCGGTGGCAGGAGATACTTTTAGACTGTGCATTTGATATGTGTCTGGTTAATAATGAGGCTCTTTCCTCCATAACAAGGTGTACATATATATATATATATATATATATATATATATATACATATATATATATATGAGTGCAAATGAATGTGCAGGTTTTACTGTGTTACTCAGGCTATAGTATTATTTTCCAAGTTTTTGTTTTTCTTTCACACCATGCATTTATTTTCCTTTGGATTAATCATGGGCATTTTCTTTAACATAAACTATTTTAAGTGTAATCTTTATTTCTAAATATCTTCAGATTCATTCTGTCAGCTGAAATAAACCCATGAAGACATTAATCCAATTTGAATAACTATATACGAATGAGGCCACAGTACTCTCCAGTCCAGATTGTCAGTTCCATTCGTAAAGGCTTGTCATACACAAATACAAATATATTTTATTTTCCAATGCTTTCACTTTTGAAGTACTCCCTTGAAAGGAATGTCAATAAAGTATTAAATAAAAAAGGTCTCCAAACTTTCTGTGAGGCTACGATTCGAGGGGAAGATGAGTGGAAATGGCTACTGATGGTTACATAACTGAAGATGTTTGTGCTAACATGCAAAAGTGTAAACTTATTTTTCCCTGAAACTGTTCATGTGAAATTATATATTACTGTTATTTTCAAAAGCTATTTTGCTTTTACTGAAATGCAATAAACATTCATTGAACACTTACTATATTGCTCATTATATAGTCCAGCTAGCTTTTCCCTGACAGGCTATTCCAGCCACAGATGATCTTATCTCTTCCTTTGTGGATGTGGATGTATGTGTGTGTGTGTGTGTGTGTGTGTGTGTGTGAAGCTGTTTATATATTTTTGGTTAGTTTGCTTCTGAAGTAGCTTGGAGAAGGTTTCACATGTATTTTATCTGTTAGTTGGCTTTATAAATTATCTCAGAAAGCAGACATAGCAATCCCAGATCTGCCAGAAGTACTTCTTCTTTGAAGACACTTTGAAGATTCATTTTCTTGAGGGGAACTGCTTTGCTCATTCACGGAAGACTTTCTGGAACACAGAGTTTCAAACAGTTCTGCAGAAACTGTACTTAGGTCTTCAGATTTCACTGTCTCTAGGAATTGAACCTGTCCCCTAGCATGCATTCTTCATGACCGAGGTTATGTTAAAACAAAAATGGTAGGAAAGCTTTCCTATGCTTTGGGTAAGAGACAAATTTGCTTTTGTAGAATTTGTGGCTGAGGAAAGCAGACAGGGCCTGGTTGAAGAAGACATATGTCACCACTAGCCACCAAGTTAAGCTGTGGAACCCAAAGGTGACAGCCATGGAAATGTAGATCATCAGCTCTGCTAAGTAATTAGGGGAAGAAACATATTCAAACCAGTCTCCAAAAGGGATTCTGTGGTTACAGTGAATGACCACTCCTGAAATGGTAAAAAAAAAAAAAAAGAAAAAAAGAAAAAAAAAAAGACTTCATGAGCATTTGAAGTTTTGAAAAGAAAGTTTTAACACTTCACTCCCCAAATCATTTACAGAAACTCTTATTTAGAAAACAGTATCACACACCTGTGTGCAAACTACCATCCTGTCACACTTCCATGGTCAATCTATTATGTATTAAAAAGCTACATGTTACATGGTCAACTGCACATAAGCACAGAAAGCAAGCCAGTTCCTCCAGCAATTCTCCAAGCTGATAATTAAGGGCTCAGACTCCAGAGTCAGACTGCATAAGCTCACATTCTGGCTCTGCCACTTACCAGCTGTGTAACTTTAGATAAGGTGCTTAAACTCTTTGTGCTTGAGTTTCCTCATATGTAAAATGAAGATTAGACTGAACTCGTCTCATGTGGGTATTGTAAAGCTATATGTAAAACACTTAGAAAAGGGCCTGGAACAAAATAAGCATCCAAAGCCTAATGGAAACTACACCTGTGATAAAAGCCAACACAAGCTAACAAAAATGGCAGTTTTCTTTGCTTTGGCTGGAATGATACTAACTTCATGGTAATAGATTAGCCAACTAACTAGGGAAGGAAGGAAAAGAATGAAGGAATATGAAGAACTAACTTCTGAACGTTAAAATCCACATGCAGAAGCTCTAAAAGAGATCTCACCTGCTTTATTTTTCCTGAGGTTGCTGAGAATGACATGGCACTTATACTGATGGGCAGATGACCAGATAAACATCATCATTCCGAGGATATGGAACCATCGTGCTTGCATCAGTAGATTTTTCCCTATTACGTAGACTACAGAAATAAGAATTATTAGCCACCTCTGCAAAATTTCAGAGGCTCAGGGAATTAGCAATCATATCATCAGTAGAACACAATTATCCTGTTCTTTATCCTGTTCCTCATGACAAGGAAATTATCCTGATATAATTTCCCAAGAACAGAGGGGAGAACACTGTCCCTCTGGATGAAGGACATATGCTCCTCAGCCATGGGCAGCTTCAGTGGCCCCTGGCAGAGAATTCCACAGTGACACAATCTCTTGCTCCTTCTTCAAGTGCTTCAAGCACAAAGTTCAGCTGTCTTCTACTCATGCGATCTACTCCTGTGTAGTGCGACTACTGTGTGTTTCTATCACTAAGCCTGGTTTCAAGTCTTCTTTCTTATATTTTACTGTCAGGAAAGTAAATCTTTTTTAAATAAATCTTTTTTAAAGAAATCTCTCCCTGAGCTATCATCCCAAACTATTGCCAGGGAGACCCCGAATGCAGAATGCTGAGTTCGCTGGCTCTGGCCAATGAAGAAAGATCACTGGAGGTAAAGGCTAAGAGGGAGGCTTCTCAAAAAGAGGAGAAATGTAAACTGTGAGATGACTAACAAAATGGTAACCCTGTCTGCATTCCAGAGAACCTACTCAGAGAGATTTAGTTTCAGGAGAAGAAACACTCACAGTACTATGTTCCCGTTCCTTCTCCAGCTACCAGGAAGAAGGGACGATGCAGGCCATCTAAGGACTGAAGAGCAAACCACTGAGTGGCAGGAAGCAATCAGCCTGGTCAGGGTCTTGCCTGAATAAACAAAGTTGTCCATTGATAACTGGCAAGAGCCTGAGGCCCTGCAGCCAAGAGGGTTTCACAAGAACCCTGTGAAATAGTGTGTGTCCTTAAGTTGATTCAAGTAAGAGAAGCAGGCAACACGCTATTCCCTGTGGGTACCTAGAAGTGGGAATCAGCTGCTGGTACCTAATGACTAATGAGAATCTACCACAGCCTATAATTTCTTTAAAAAAACTTGCTTTCTATAAACAATGTACTATGGTATTTTAACACTTATTAGGTTTAGCCATTTAACTAAAAGGTTATATATATATATATATATATTTTAAGGATATGCACATTTATTTGTTCAAATAACAAATACATAAGCTGAATAACAGACAAATAACAAAATAGTCTGTAGAAAGTAGGGCTTCAAATTTTCACAAAAATGGAGATGTAGAACTTATTAAAATTTACATATTTTATTTTATAGTCTCTACAATTATTTGAAATAGCTCTCTAAAGTCTTCCAAAATATCAAATTAATTTCAGTAGAGGAAGATGAATAAACTTTTCAAAGGCAAATTAATTTACAGGCAAATCAACAAGTCCACTTAATAAAAAGAAATTAAGAACAGAAATTAAATATCTAAGCTTAGCAACATAAATTACATAAAAAATCAACAAAACAGAATATAAACACGAGGGCACTTCAAGAAGTTTGTGGAAAAATAGAACTGAAAGATAATGGAAATCTTTTTGTGAACTTTTTTGTTTGTTCTACTTTTTCTAAAAGGTTATATTTTTATGTTAAAAATATGAGAAATATAGTTTTAAATCTGACAGGATTCAAGAGCAAGTCACTATAGGATTAAAAGTTAAAGCGAGTGTGTGGGAGTTCACATCTCTACTGAATCCCCTACTGTAAATGCAGAGAAATTACCTATGAGGGAAAAAGCATCTGTAAGAGTAAGGCCAGAATTACACTGCAGGAAAGGGGAGGCAGGTAGAAGGCTCCTATTTACTGAGATACTGATCTATGTAGTATTTATTTGTTTATTCATTAGTTACTTATTGAGTGTCTACTAAGCCTGGCACTGTTACAGGCACGAAGGATAAAGCAGTGGGTAAGTCAGGCAAGATCCCAGTCCTTATGAAGCTTCCATTCTAGTTTACAGATATTCTTGTCTTCACTTTCACCAGAACCCTGTGAAATCAGTATGGGTCACGACTTCCTGATGAAGCCTCTGAGGCTCAGAGAGGGAAGTCAGCCAGACTCAGGCCTATCTGACTCCCAAGCCACGTTATCTCTATCAGACCCTGTGGCTGGCAAATGCCCCAGTGTATTCTCGCTCAGTGAATTACTGAAGCCAGCTCTCCCCATATTGTCCCAAATGACCCCAGATAAGTAGGTGTAACAGAAAACAGCCTCAGAAAGGAGTGTTTAGAAAGCTATTTTTGTGGGAGCCTCAGGTGATTTTCCCTGACTGGAGGGAAGGCAGAAGTTGGGATTCAGCCAGTAGAGAAAGCTCCAGAAGAGGTATGTAATGCCAATGGAAACTAACAGACTGGAAAACCAGTACTGGTCACCAGGAATGACAGCTCACACCATGGTACTGGCTAGACCCGTGAGTGCCACAGCAGAAAGACCAGGGAGGAATAACTGACTTGATTAAGTTCAGAGGAAGTACAGAAATGCTAGCTGAGTGGCTGGGGCAATAAATAATTCATGAATTGAGAAAGATTGTCAATAAATCCTACTTTAAAATCACTTCTCTAGCCATAGAGGTTGCATTACAACAGCAGATAAAGGACTTTCAAGGGGCACTCTGACACTGAAACCAACCCTAAGGAGGCCCACTCACTGAGTGCTGGAAACATCTAGACAACAGTCTCAATTTACAGATGCACAGGGTGACTTGAGGAAACATGGAGCCAGAACTTAGAGAAAATGGTCAGAAAAGATCCACAGTGTCTGGGCTGATGGATACCACGGCTACAATAAAAACTCATTTCAATCTCCCAAAATGACTTGAATTCTTTATACTAGCACAGTTTTTACAAAAATGACAGTTATATATGTTAGATAACACCCTCCCCCCCAGAAAACAGCAAACACTCCATTTCCTCCTCATAAACAAAGACCATGCTTTTGCTTCCCTCTTCCTGGCTGGTGAGATCTTAGAAATGGTAGGACACAATTTTGATTGACCACAGTAGTCTTTTGTCCTCTGCCCTCAGGCAGCCTCACTTGAAGAAAAGCCTTGTAATAATGGGAACAATTACAGGAACTAAATACCCACAAAATGGCCCCCTACTCCCTCTCAAAACCACGAGTGTTCACCAGGAGCACACCTCGCTTCATGTGCTGCAAGGCGCCCTGCGACACGGCTTCCCGTCCCGCTTCTGCACGCAGCCCACGATGACTGAGGCTTTGGCGAGGAGGCTTCTCCCGTTCTGGGTGCTCTCCTGCTTCCTGGTTAGCTCTCGGTCGCCCTCTCCGCAGACTAACCCCACACGGGCTCATGGGCTGCAGTCCCTCAGTCCCTCTGGGAACCCCCACACTGCATTTCATCAGCCTTAAACCAACCCTCCGAACACTTTGTGCTTTTCTGTCTTCACTGAAGGTGTTACTGCTTGTGTTGGTGTCTTTAGGGTTTCAGCGTTATGGTTAATACGAGGGTACTTCAAAAAGCTCATGGAAAGATTCATGTTATCTTTTGTCTTTTAATTCTAAAGACACCAACACAAGCCAGTGTTCTACAGAATTAAAAGACAAAAGATAACATGAATCTTTCCATGAGCTTTTGGAAGCACCCTTGTATATACCTTTGGGCACTGCTGACTTTTAAAAATCTATTATTAGAGACTAAACTCTTCACATGCAAAAAGGACTGCGTGTGTCTCTGACTTGTGAATTTCTCCTAATGCCTAGTGGAGCACTTGACCTGAGAGCACCCCATCCACCCTGTGACCACAGAGCTCTGGGCGCACTGGGGGCCACTCACCATTCCTGCCATCCATTGGCACTTGGCTCAGCACAGTTAGGCCGAGGAGGATGTAGTAGACAAGCCCAAAACAGTACTGCACCACGTGGATCACGCTGTTGGAGAAGATACTGACATAGAAGCACTCAAAGAGTCTTCGCAAGCTGTGTAGCCACAGAAATACCAGCACTAAGAATGCAGACAGTGCTAGCTCACCCCCTACAATTCAGAAGGCAACACATTCAGCATCTCTCTTCTGGGATTAATCCTAAATTTTACTTATCTCTACTGTTAAACAGGGTATTAAACAAGATTACAGCTAGGAAGGGCCCTGGAAACCATCCAGTTGACACCTTCCTTTTTTTAGCAATGAGGAAATGGACCACATAAAGTCAAGGAATTTGGCTCAAGGTTATGCAGTAGTTTAGTGACAGAGCCGGGATGAACACCTGACCCTTGACTCTGCTTCATCATGTGGGAGCCTTCCAGGCCACATGGACTTCACTGTGAAGGGGTCTGTGTGCTCAGAACCAGGGTTCACAGGCTTCTGGTTCCCAGCACTAACAGCCAGATGCAAAGGGTCAGGAGGAGTTCCCAAATGGCCTCTGAGCAACCCCACCTGGTGAGATCCCTGGGGTTACAGGCACCCACAGAGGCAGAGCAAGAGGGGAACAGAAACAGAATCATGCATTTATTTCCATATTAAAAAAAATAAATTTTTAGGGGTACAGTGAGCCCTGAGATCTACTTTCCCACCTGCCTCTTGATCTCTACCCCCAAAGAAATCCAAACACAAGCTGGTTTTTAAAGTAACATAAAATCTAGTTTTTCTTTTTCAATAAGTGACACAGACACACACACACACACACACACACACACGCACGCACATCAAACGGATACAGCTTAATGAATTTTACCAACTAAACCAATCCATCCCACCCACCTAACCAGCACCCAGATCAAGAAACAGAACACGACCAGCACCCCCTAGTGATCCTTTCCAGGCACTACCCCCCACCTTCCCAAGGGTAACCCCTACCTATCTGGACTTCTATCAGCATAGATTACCTTTGCCTGTTTTTGTATTTTAAATAAATAAAACCTTGTTTTAACTCTTTAGGAACAGGTTAGAACAAAAATAAATAAATAAAACTCCTCACAACCAACTTTCTAAATACCAAAACACCAGCCATTCCCACAGTAAAGAAATGAAGACATAAAATTTTATAGAGTGAAGTGGGATTCACTGAGGTATCCTCCCCTCCCAAAAGGACGTGGAAGGGTTTTCTCTTCTGATTGTCTTCTTTGGCAACAAGTTCCTCTGGTTATCCAGAAAAGGATTGCTCCTAGGGAGCCGGTGGTCTGGCTGCTGGAACAAAGGACAAAGACAGGACCAGAAAAATTCATTTCTAATTCTGTCTGACCTTAATTGAGGCCACGTTACGGTTTTTACCTTCAATTAATTATTTTAAAAACTGTTCTACGTATCCTTTCCTTGATGCTGAGTGTGGCAAATTTAAAGGCTATTTTGTAATCATCTGGTCAACAACTATTTGGTCAATTTTACTGTAAAATCAAAGCCTCACAGCATAACAGAACTTTTTAGAAGTTTACCAAAAAGTAATTTTTTATCAAATTTCTGGAGTTCTGAGACATGATTTTAGTTGGAGCTGTATAAATGAATGATAAATGTTTCAAGGCAAACCTGAAGGATCCTAAAAGCTTTCCCTCTTACGTGCAAAGACTTTTTTATACATTTATCAACTGTACTAAAAATATCAGAGGGAGAACAGCCAGTCCTGTACACAGCACAGCACTAACAGGGAAGCCTGGAGCCGGAATGCTAACTCTTGGCTCTGCCATGTTCTCAATGAAGGACTTGGGGACATCCCTGAACCATCCACTGGAGAACCATGCAAAACTCTTTTTGCCCTCACCCTCCAACTTTCCAGGCCTTGCTGAAAGGCACCTGAGAGAGGTTAAGAAATGCCAGAACAGCTCCGTGGAAGACAGGAAGGACGGGAACAGGACACAGTGTTGTACTGAGCCAGGGAATTGTTACCTCGGAACTGGGCAGCCCCAAGAATTCTGAGCAAACCATGAAGCCAGTTTGGAAAAGGTTCTCCCAGGAACAGAGATTGAGTAAGGCACCAAAGCAGGAAGCCATTCCATAGCACTGAGATGATATAGAAGTGAGAAAAATACCTGCAGAAGGAAAATAAGTTAGACAGTAGTCAGGGTAGATCCACTCTAAGCCATTATGCAGGAGGATTATTTTTAGTTTCCCTGTCCTCCCCTCCACCCTTCTCAAAGTATATTTCAGCTTTTTAATAGAAATTGAATCCTACAGGTATTCAGATTTTTAGTTTCCTTTCAAATGATGGTTAACTTGTAGGAAAAAGCGGGCTATCTAAGGTTAACAAGGACACAAATTGACCTTGTTAAACTTAGACTGAGGGTCAATTAGCAATCTCTGTTATCACTGGTAACAGAATTGGGCTCAAGTTCCAAAAAATGAGGCTGCAGGCCTTGGCAGAGAGAACCTAGATTGTGCTAACACAAACTAAATCTGTGAAAGATTTCTAAATCCCAAGCAATACTGTAGCAATACAACTATTACACAAAATTTGCACAATCACAGACTCTCAAGGCTGGAAGAAACATTAAACATCTTCTGATCCAGTGTTTTTTTCTAAATTGTGTGGAACCTAAATTACTGCATGACAAATACTACAATTGATAAAGCTAGGTATCAACTGCTTTAGTTACAACTAACTCTCAGACAACTACAGAGCCTGTTTTATAATGAACACATTTACAAACTAAATACAAATAAAACCACAAAACCAATTAAGATTGAAATTAACAATGTTAATTTAATGTGAAAAAGGATATAGATTTGCTGAAACGAAGTCAACTAATATGGCACAAGGGCTGACCAGATTCTTTTGAGGTCCTTTTACCTATACTTTCCCTACTATTTTGCTCTATTCAAATCAATTCAAAACCTTTCTGACTCTACTGGGTTCCTGGAAGTCATCTATCTTTCCTTGATCTTCAATGTATCATGGATACATTAAATCCCCTCCTTCTTTTCTCCTTAGTCTGTGACAATTAAAGATGACCTGGAGTCAAAACAAGATTAAACATAAACTCAGAGGCTCCTCCAGATGATCCCAAATATGCCTGTAAGAGAACTCACGGCCACAGACCTACCAACCAATCCAGTCTGAAAATCTGGATCTAATCTGATGATTTGGCAACCCATTTCATTCTCCCAACTACTTTTAGCAAATTCTATCATGGGATCTGCCCTCTCTGGCCCTGCAGAACAAGGTGAATTTTAATTCTACACAACAAACAGCTCTTAACCTATTTGAAGAGAGTCATCCTGTATCCCCAATTTGGATCTCCAGGCTCAAGAGGCTTGTTTCCTCAAAAGTTCATACATCAGGGTCAATCCCCACCCCAGCTACTGGTCTTCCTTAAGACACACTTCCCAGAACTGAGCCCAGGTGTGGGCTAAGCCTTACAGAGCAGAGCAGAAGGTCAAGAACAACTTGCCCTGGCAGGCTCCCATGGAAATGGGAGGGCCAGCTTCTGAACAGCAACTTCTGGGCCAGCCACTTTGCCTACTTCAGTTTTTCACAAATATTTATTGAGCAGTTAGAATGTGCTGGGCAATTTTCCAGGAGCCAGGGACTTAGCAGGGAGCAAAAAGACCAGGTCCCCACCTTAATGGAGTTTACCTTTCAGTGCAGTGAGACAGTCAACAACTAAACCTGGAGACATCTAGCATAATGTTGAGTAAGGGGACAGAGAGGGTCCAGAGAGAAGGCTGTTCTGGGTGGGTGGTCAAGGATGGCCTCTCTGGAAGTGACGTTTGGCTAGAATGAGTAATCCCTGTGGATTTCCAGGAGAAGAACTTTCTATGCAGAGGAAATGACAACTGTAAAGGCATGAGGTGGGTATATGCTGGGTGTGTTCAAGGAACAATAAAAGACACCTGTGTGGCTGCTGTGGCATGACCAAGGGGGAGAGGGGTAGAAGGTGAGGTGAGAGGGCACAGAGGTGGCACGGCCTTGTAAGGGCGCTGGCTTTTGTAATGGGGACCCATATGAGCAGAAGAGTGACTTGAGGTAATAATTTATGTTTTCAAAATCCCTCTAGCTGATGAAAAAGTTCTGGAGATAGACAGTGGTGGTAGTTGCATAACAATGTGAAGCCACTGAACTACACACTCAAAAAGGGTTAAAATAGTAAATTTTATGTCATGTATATTTTACCAAAAAAAAAAAAAATTTAAAAAGAAGCAAACAAAAACAAAAACAAAAAAAGACCCCGAAAAAAGAATTGCTCATTCATTTCACTCTTCTTTAAGTTAAAAAATCCCCTCTCTGGTAACTAGGTAGAGAATAGCGTAGTTGCGGGGGTAAGGGGTACAGAATGGAGCTTGGGAGAACAGTTAAGATTATTAAATTTTATCTTCATAACAATCCTTTAAAGTGTATGTTGTTATCTTCATTTGGCAGATGAGAAAACAAAGGCTCAGAGAGGTGGGGGTAAGGGGTACAGAATGGAGCTTGGGAGAACAGTTAAGATTATTAAATTTTATCTTCATAACAGTCCTTTAAAGTGTATGTTGTTATCTTCATTTGGCAGATGAGAAAACAAAGGCTCAGAGAGGTTAGGTTACTTATCCAAGGTCACACAGTATGTGGCAGCATTTGGCTCCAGATTCAGCCTTGATGATTTGAAGTTAAAATTACACTGTTCTGCTCATATTCATGCACCTGAGGTGTGCCTGAACTTGTCTTTCTGGCCCTACATTGCCTGTACCGATTCTTACCGAGCCTAAAGTACATATTTACATCAAGCCTAAAGTCAAGCAAATCACTCAAGTGTTTTCTATTTGTGTCACGTGTTTTTGATTCACAGGCAAATTGTTTTGTTTTTTTTTAATTCCCACATTTTTGTTTTGCTTGCCTGATTTCCCTCTGCAGGAAACATTTTTTACTGTTTACACCAAGTCATATCTCTTTTTTTGTTTTTATTTTTTTATTTTTATTTTTGTCTTTTTTCCGTGTCCGGCAACAGATCGCAACCCTCAGTGTTGCCCCCGTACCGGACCGGGGACCGGCAACGGGATTGCAAACCTCGGTGTTGCTCCCGCGCCTCGCTCAGCCAGTGAGCGGGAACCGGTCTGTATGTGGGATCCGAACCCTCGGGTGGGAGCGCCGCCGTGCTCCCAAGCGGCGCACTATCCAGTGCGCCACCGGGCCGGCCCCTCTTTTTTTGTTTTTAAAGACCCGGTTCAAATTTCAAAAACCTAAATCTAAAAACTCCGTTGCCTTCTGTTTTAGACATTTTCCTTCCTTTTCCTCCTTTGGCATTTGCTTAATTGCAGCACTGTTTTCCATGCCCTTGGGACCAGGGATGAGGAGATCCTTATGATAACACAGGACACTGAGTGAGCACTCCTTTGACGCCCAAACATTTGAGTGCTTACCATAACCCAGGACTGCTCTTGGGTCTGGGGACACAGCAGCAAACACAACAGACAACAATTCCTGCCCTCATGGGGCTGATACACACAAAATACATTTCACAGCATGTTAGTAAGCAAATAATTGCTACTGAGAAAACTAAAGCAGGGAAGAGGAAGAAGGAATACTGCGGATGGTAGAATTACAATCTTAAACAAGGTGGATAGGGAGGCCCTCCCTGACAAGGTAATATCTGAGTGAATTATAGGAAGTGAGGGTATAAACCGTGTGGGGGGAAGAACTTTCCAGGTAGGGGAACAGGCAGTGCAAAGGCTCCGGAAGACTAGCAGAGACATCCCAAAACTAGAATAGAGCCAGACAGGGCAAACTATAGGAGATAAAATCAGTGAGGTGCTGGGGATGAGACTGTGTAGGGTCTTGGGCTTTTACTGTGAGTGAGTTGGAAGGTGCTCTGAAATCTGTTGGAAGTCAAGTGGAGCTTCAGGCTGGAGCCTGATGTTAATACATATTTGCTGATTGTCAACTGATCCCAGGCCTCAGTTAGGGGAGTTGTGGGGTTCACTAAGTAAGAAAGGGAACTAATGTTTACAGAGTTCTGACTAGGTGCTCAGCCCTTAGCTAAGTGCTCTAATGTCATCATCCCCATCAGACCATCATGTACTATTATGCTAACACTCTAACCCACATCACCATCATCTCTCGCCTAGACCACCATAGTAGCCTCTTATCCGGTCTTCACATGATGGCCAGTCATCCTTTTAAAACATAAATCACATAATGCAATTCCCCCCCCACACACACACTGGCCCCTCAAAGCCCTCAGTATCTTTCTACCCACTCAGAACGAAATCCAAACTCCACCATGCCTGCAAGACCCCGGCCAGCTGCTCCTGCACCCATCCCTCCCATTCTTTCTGTGTTGTCACTCCCACCCCACCCCAGTCTTGCTCATGCTTAAATGACTCTGCTGGGTTTCCTCCAAAGTGTTTATCACTGAAGTTATTTTGCTGTTTTACAGATTTATTTACCTATTTACTGTCTGCCTTCATAGCATGTAAGCTCCACAGAACCTAGAATAGCTCCTGGCACATAGGAGGTACTCTATAAACACTGGTTAAATAAATAAATGAAGGAGAAAGTAAGAATCTCATCCAAAGTTACTCTCATAATAAGGAATCAAGTTAATCGACAAACCAATTAAACCCCAAACCTCTTTTTTGTCATTCATTCAAAACATATTGTTTGAGGGTCTTATTACTTGTCAGGCACTGAGCTTGGGATATGGTAACAAACAAGACAAATGTAAACGCATGGAAAGTTTACACTCTAGAACAGAAGTTCTGACCATTTTTCTGCCATGGATACCCCATGTGCCTCCACCCCGCTGTCTTTTGCAGTCTGGTGAAGGCTGTAGGCCCTTCTCAAAATATTATAAGCATAAAATAAAATATATAAGAATTACGGTATGGCTAATTCTACTGCAGTTTGTTGATTACATTCTTAATTAAAGACATGCTAAATTTCAGCTAGAGGTTAGTAAAAGTAAAGATAAAACTTTCTTCTGAAATCCAAGTTTGCCCTGAATTCTGTGCAAGGATCTCCTGAGCCACTGGTTAAGACCCCTGGACTCCAGTGGGGGAAATCTGGGTAGCTCTCTTTGTCTTCAGAGCCCAATTCAATGTCAATGCTTTGATATCATTTGGAATCATTTAGAAATTGAAGAAGTG